TGCATATAAACAGCGCAGTTGCAATGTAACTCAATGGGTTCCAAGTTATGACCATTCTGAGTTACGGCTAAGCATTTGGTCCGTAACGCGTTCAGTCTGTAATGCGTTCGGGGACCGGCTGTAGTGACATCAATTGGCCCATACACGCACCCTTGTTCTGCCTCATGGTTTTGACTGAGGTGATAAAGGGTGAGGCGGACCATGTGTGCCCTCAGTTCCTTGTTCAGTGTAAAACAATCAAATCCAGAGCAGAGGGGAAGGAGGGAGGGACTGGAATACAGATAGGGACCACACATCTCAAAACACCTCTAGTTACAAGTAAGTAATCACCTTCTCTTTGAGTGCTGTATTCCACTGAGGGTGATTAACAAGCAGTACCTAATTAGTAGGTGGGTGAGAGAAAGTTCACAGAACCAGAGAATGGAGGACAGCTAGACCAAACAGGCATTTATTGCAGATTTTTGCACCCGAGTATAATCAGAAGAGAAGGTGTGTACTGAACTACATGTGGCTGACCTACATATGTGCATGAGTGGCGTGTCATGAAGCACAACCATAGTTGATGCTCACACTTTGTGGAATGGGCTTGTATCCCAATGGATGGAGACAGTCCCAATAATAGATAATACAGCACAATGCACACAAACCCACTTAGAAATTCTCCGAGTGGGGATGGTCTGTCCCTTAATCCTTTCTGCTATAGTGATAAAGAGTTATGGGACTTCCTGAATGTTTTTGTCCTCTGCAGGTAAAAGGCTAGGGTACTGTGGACACTGGGGCTATGGCTAGACTGCAGGCTTCTTTCAGAAGAGATCTTCTGAAAAAACTTCTTCCGAAACAGTGTCCACACACAAAAGCCCATAGAAAAAGCCATCTGCTTTTTTGAAAGATAGCATCCATTCAGTGTGGATGCTAACTCATGTATAAGCTGTGATTACTATGGGCGGAATGGCCACAAGGGCATTTGTTCTTTTTTCTCTTTCCTCTTCTTGCGAAAGAACTCCCTCTTGCCCATCCAGACACGCCTTTTTCTAAAAGTGCTCTTTCAGAAAAAGCCTTCTTCCTCATAGAAAGAGGTTTACCAATGTTGGAAAAAACCCCTCCGTTCTTTCGATTATCTTTCAAAAGAATGTGATTGCAGTGTGGATGTAATTGAAGTTTTTTCAGAAAAATGCTGTTTTTCCTAAAAAACTCTGTAGTATAGACATACCCTGAAGTAGTGAAAGCACTCCTCCTCCTCCTCTGAGGCATGCAGCTTTAGAGAAAAGGTGTGAAGTAGTGAAAGCACTCCTCCTCCTCTGAGGCATTCAGCTTTAGAAAAAAGGTAGGTAAGTGTATGGGTTTGTGGAGGTGAAAACAGGAAACCAGTTTCAGCAGAAACTTGGGAGGAAAAGGCAGGGAAACTGTGTCTTTACGGAATGCAGCAAAAAATGGGAGGAGGGGGGTCTGTCATCATGCTCACCCTTCTTGCAGAAGTATTAGGTATTATAAATGCAGCCATAGTCCAGAAGTCTGAATGTCAACTTCATCAATGCCATGAAAACAAGGTTGAGATCTCTCCAGAGAGTGATGAATTAAATAAGAGAATATGTCTGCATAAGGCCCTTTCAGAACTGTACAGTCAACGGGTGAGTGAAAACTGAGTGCCCCTGAACAAAATGGTGGAAAGCACTAATGGCTGCTATATGCACCTTGATGGAGCTAAGAAGGAGCCCTGGCACCTTCAGGAATAGGAGAAAGTCCAAAAAGAGAGAAATGCCTGTGGTCTTAGGAACAAAGCATTTCCATTTGACTTGGTGGGACCATCTCTAGGAGTCCTCTACTCAAAAGAGATCTTTTCCTGTTGATGAGCATTCCCATGCTAGTAAAGAGCCCCATTTAAAAAAAAAATCAGGCTTTCAGGTAACGCAGCTACAGATTAGGATGTCTGATCTTGCCATTGCTTTGCATGAACAGTTCCAGAAATATCTGTAATGCGAGAGGAGGATGCTATGCTTTGATATGCAGAGAAAAGGAGAAAACCAGAAGTGGCAAGCCCAGAATGGGGTGACAATCAGTATGACCACTGCTCTCTCACCTAATTTTGTGAAGGATGGAGAGCAGTAAATGGAGGAGACAGAGGACATAGCTTATTTGGATCAACCAACCAATGACTAGGGTGTCAACCTTGGGACTGCTTATGCACGTGCTTCCTTGCCTGACAGCTAGGTCCCAGCACAGGGTCCATAGCACTGGTACTGGTGGAACCAGTCCAGAGCGCCATGGTAGCAGGCACACTCCTTAACCCCTCAGGCTGACATATAGTAAGAGAGGTTGCTTAACCTTGATATAACTGAGGGTACTGGCAGGGAAGGTGAGGCAGATACTGCTCCAGGACAGGACATGGGCTTCCCTCAAGAAATAAAGGAAGTGTTGGTTCAATCACTGATTGAAAACAAGTGAAGGCAGGAAGCGCAGATCATGAACCTCAGAATCTTTGACATAATCCATTAGCTAGATGAGGATGCTGTGTGTGGGGAGAGGGGTGAAGAGGGGCTAATAGGAAAACCACCCAAAGGGTATCACAAAGTCCATAAATCTCAAGAAAACTACTACTAATTCCAAAAATTACTGCTACTACAAAAACCCACAATAAATGCCAATTATATATAAGAATATAATAGTATTTTCAGAGAAATTATACAAGTCCATCACAAGAGATGAGACACCCGCAGATGCTTCAACTCAGTCCATGTAATGAGGAGAAGGAACTGAGAGTGCAGTTAATCTGTCCTACCCTTTATAGCCTCACTTAAAACCACGAGGCAAAACAAGGACACACATGTGGACCAACAGACATTGCTATTTTTAAAAGATGTGGATGCATGGCACATGGACATTACCCTCAGTGGAATACAGATAGTGTCACTCAACAAAGAATATAGTATTCCAAAGGTACTCATGAGCTATGCATATATTATAATGATTCTTTCTCAGACACTAGACAGAATGATGAGAGTTAGCTGTCTTAGGGTACGTCTATACAGTAGTGTTATTTCGGAATAATGTAATTTATAGTCTGTGTCTACACTACAAGCAGTTATTTCAACATCATGTCAAAATAATGTTGAGCTGAAAGACTTCTTACTCTAAGTCCTGTAACCCTCATTTTATGAGGAGCCAGGTAAGTCAGACTTCCTGCTGTGTAGACAGCCAAAATAAGCTATTTCAACTTAAGCTACGCATAGCTTATTTTGGCCTTAGCCCTACTGTGTAGATGTGCCTTTAGAAGCAAATAATCCTCTTAGCAATAGTCAAGGTTCTATAGTGGTGAGAAGTCTATATACACTGAGTCAAGTCAGGTGATAAAGGTAAAAACCTTAATAAGGAATAATCTGAATGTGAGAATATGAAGGAGAAGATGAATTGATATAATGACTGCTATCATCGTTAAAAGTATGGGTTTCTAAGCACCATTCTCATAGTATTTGGATGTAATTCTTAGTCCTGGTGAGTTATGGTTCTTTGTCTTTTTAGACAGATCATGAGTAACAGCACCCAGTTGTGAAATATAAAAATGCCACAATAATACTCTTCAGCATAAGTTCCTTACCTACAAGACATCTCACAGCATAAGAGGCCTTGAAAATTTATCTGGAGAAATTTTAAGAACACCACAAGGTTTTTGTGTGACAGCTGCTGCCTCTTATTAGTCTTAATAATCTAGACTATTCACAAAATTCATGACTGCAGCTAGTGTCATTAGGATACCTCTAACACATTACAGGCAGGCTCAAAGTTTTGCCTCATTTCTTTCTTCTTCTTGTAACCATCTGTAAGTCCCGGTTTTTTAAAAGCTACACTGCTCCAAGCCTGTTCTAAAATTAATAATAATCAATACCACCAGCAGCATCTTAATACCCCCCAATAGCAAGGTAGTCTTTGCCATTGTTTTCCCTTCAGCCCACACAACAAAGCAGACTTCAAGTTGGTTCTTTCCAGCAATTGTTTTAAACAGTGTTTCAAAATATGAAAAATTTTAAATTTTATAAATGGTGACCTTTTTAATCCATAGCACAAGCACCAAAATACTAGATCTAGCTATGTCTCCTGAAAACTCTATAGTCAGAGAGAGAGAGAGAAAGAGAGAGAGACTTGTATTCCCAAATTGCTTTCATTCATTTCCCGCCAATAATATTCTTATGCACAGAATAGACGTCATCATTTGAAAATGTACCGTTCAGTGTTCATGTCTCTTGTTGTCATATGGTTTTGGTATTTTCACTTTTGGATATGTTTTTTACATTGCCATTGAAGCAAAAAATTAAACACCTAACAAACAGCTCTTTTGAAACCCAAAGTATTATTTCAAGTTCTCACTAGCTTTGAGAGAACACATATACACAAGACAATCCAATAGAACCATTCTTGAAATCAAAAACAGTTATACATGAAAAAACACAACACTAAAAATCATAATATTAGATGTGACATGTAAAATCACAATCTAAAAATCAATAAAATACTAGGGGAAAGGGCTGGGTTAAAATTTCAGATTAAGTTGGCAAGAGCAATTGTTTGTTCACTTAGGGCTTGTCCAGACTACAGAGATCAAAGCTGCTGCAGACAATCTTCCGGGGTTCGAATTAGCGGGTCTAGTAAAGACCACTAATTTGAACTGATAGGAATCAGTGCCGGTAGTCCTGCTCCTCCAAGGAGTAAGGGAAGTTGAAGGGAAAGTGTGCTCCTGTGAACCTTTGACTCCCTTCAACTCCAGCTACGTAATTAATATAGCTGGGGTTCTGTATCTTAATTCAAACGTATTACCTAGGGTAGACCTAGCCTTACTGTACATTTACATGTACCTAGTTAGAAAACTAATTATATTGGTTTTGTTATTATATTGACACCATAAAAAGAACACACATAAGATTACTCACTTTGTCTAACATTCACTTTAAAAGAAGATATAAGAAAATATCCATGTATATAGGTTATATCAAGAGTTTTGTAATTCTCACCTTGTTGAATATCCTTCATTTCCAGGTGCAAACTAGATATCAAAATTCCTACAGTTTGAGATCTCTTTCCATCCAATAGTTTGATAATCTGGAATTGTAAAACAAAATGCTATTTAGTCAAAATTAATAATTTAAAAGAACTTTCATTAATAAAGAAAAGTTAGAAATGCTAATTTGTGAATTAAATTGAATGGTGCTCAACCACTTTTATTATTTAAATCTGATATAAGGCTCGTACTACCTCAGTCTTCTTGCCTCCTGTAGCCTCATATATAGGTGATAAGATATCATCTCCTTCTAATTATTAAATACACTTTTAAGTTCAAAAGAGACAACAAAGCTTGGACTTTACATAATAGTAGTAAATACAAGCCAGATCCAAAATGTAATTCATATCAGCACCAATTAGGAAAGATCATCCTTTATTAGTAGGATACAGTCTACCAGTAAGAGAAACCCACACTAGAACTTCATTCAAGAAATGCATGTTCTTTCCACTTAACCCCCATCAGGAGAATTTGGTGCAGCAGTGTAAGATATTTTGAGTATGTCTCCAAGCCTTTATGTGACTTGATAATTTTCATTTCACTACAACCCATCCTCAAGTCCTCACTTCACAACACATTTTTTCTTGATCAAAGTAAGCTGATGGTTTTTCCTGTAGATCCCTTTCAGCATAGCTTCTATAACACTCAGACATTGCTCAAAAGTTATTTTTCCAATGACGACTGGGCATCTGCCATCAAAGCCCTGGAAGAGTGGAGGACTTTGACCATGATTTTAATATTAGGTCATACATGTTAGTGCATCGTGTTGGGCCCAAACTATTTTTGCATGCATGATAGTGGGTGAGAGCAACCCGTGTTGGGCCCAAACTATTTTTGCATGTATGATAGTGGGTGAGAGCAACTTCATTAAAAGGAACAAAAGAGCCACATTCAGGTAAATATTACCTCAGAGTAGGGATAGATACATACACAGAATATTGAAAGGCAAACCTTAAAATTTTTGGAGGTTTAGTTTAGCTGATGGCATAGATAGACCTAAGGTGCTGAATTAAGATTTAAAACAAACTTCCCTAAGTCTTGGGATGCTTGTATCTGTGGTTTGGTTTGTACCATTAGAGAAAGATGGTAAGAACAAAATTCAGATGCAGAGATGAACTTCCTTATAATTCAGGAAGTGTTACATGTCCTGGGTGTTGGCTCAGAGCCATCTCTCATTCATTAATTTGAAAACTTAAAAACCTCCTCCAAAATCTACTTCTCTTCAACCTGTATTTCAACAAGGCTGGAAATTTTCAAGAATAAATGCTTGATGGAGGTTTCAAGCACAGTACATACAGGGAAATGCTATGGGAAGCTGAATTTTTATCCCACCACCAGGGGCATTCAAATAGAAATCAAAATGAATAGTTACTGCTTTTCCAAACTGAAAAGTCTTGATATAAGTTTTGTTATTCCAATAATGTACTTCAGTGATTCTAAAAAATAATGAGAATTGCAGAGTTTGATATGTTTTGAAAAACTCTCATACTTCATTATTCAATGCTTTACTGCAATTTTCCTGTTATGAGACCATCCAGGGATATTTATCACAGCAGCCACTCAGCCAGTTACAAATATAAACGTAAAATAGGAGTTGGCAAACATGATAGAGAGAGAAAGCATAGTGACATTTGTGTCTAAATAAATGCACGTTAATTATTCTTTATCAAGTGCTAAAAACATGCTGGACACTTCACAAATACATAACAATATATGGTGCCTCCAACAAAGATTTTACAAGCTATATATGACGGGGCAATAAAGGCCCACCACACAATTAATGAATGTTAATTTCATTATATAGATCATTCTAGAAGATTTACCCAGAGTTGCTTGAGTCTTTAACTCAATATTTTCCCTCTCATTTAAATAATTGTTCTGGGGTGGGGCTTGGGATGACTGGTTCAGTATGCAGGCTGCACTGGAGAGAGAGGACTACTCCAGCCCTCTCTAACCACAGCAGCTTGAGGCCAGGTGAGAAGCGCCTCTCTATGGCCACTGCCGGTCCAGCAGGCACAGCTGGGGGAGGGGTGCATGTTGCCCAGCTGGGGCAGATCCACCTTTGTCTGCCCTGCTGTGCTCCTCAACCAAAATGAGGAATGCAGAAAACTGCATTTTCCCTTGTTCTGTAACAAAGGGGAACAGCCAGCAATGTTCCTGTATGACTTGGAGAGGGACTTCAGGCTCCCCTCCCTAAAGAGCACCTGGGGCAGTCCTGGAAGGCATGTCCCCAGCCAGACCCTTTCACCTGTCTCTTTTCTGTATGATTTTAGGAGAAACAATCCCATTCCAGGCACATCCAAATTTTCCTGCCAGAACCAAACCCTTACACCTTGCTTCAAGTTATGATAACAGGAAGCTATGTACAGAATTTGGGAGTTCTTGCTCCTACTGTTTAGGAGTTTTTGAACAGACAGACAAACTCTCTAAAACATATCCTGAAATCATATAGTAGATTTTATGCCAGTAAAACATATCCTGAAAGTCTTTTTCACAATATGGGTGCATCTACACAGCACCCTAAACTCGAAATAAGATACGCAATTTGCGCTACACAAATTGCGTATCTTATTTTGAAACTATTTTGAAATAGCTTATTTTGAAATTTGGCATGTCTATACCCCTTGTGCAACAAGGTTTACCAGGATGGTGAAATAGTGTGTTTGTTATTTAAAAAAATATTTTGAAATAATGGACAGCTTGTATACACACAGGGTAGCTATTTTGGGATACCTCCGGTATCTCAAAATAGCCACTCAGAGTAGACGTATCCTATGATATACTGCATGTTAGCTATTACAATAAATTAACTTGGCATTCTTTCTATGTGTTGAAACAAGACAGAATCCATGTTCTGAAGTTCCTGAATATACAAACATACAAAATGACTTGGCTACAAGTCCCTATATATGAATACTTTGCATACATCCCCTAGTGTAAAATATGATTTTTGGTAAATGTTAGGGAATACCCAGTTTATGATGGTCATTTTTGAAGTTGTAAATGAGTCTGCTGAACTAGGCAGCACATTAACTTCTAACAGGGATAATTACAGGCTTGACTAGTATGCAATTTGTATAGCATTCACTGACCTCCAGGTTGACCCTGTTCACGGGCAAATTCATAGGTTGTCATAAGCCCCATTAGACATGCCTAGTTTGAGGTAAAACCTTTCCAGACTACACCTCGTACAGACAACATGACATTTGAAACTAATACATTAGGGTACTTCAGAAAATTGTTGATATGCTCTCCAGATATGATCAAATGGGTAATTTTTCTTCCTGTAATTTTTTTAAAAAATTGAAAATAATTTTAGTGGTACATATTTTAAAAATAAAAATAGATTCATGTTGTTTCTAAAAATCTGTATGGAAATAATTACACATGGTCACAATTAGCAGAGATCAGACTAGACTCAGACTACTTGAAATACCTTCCACCAAATCAAATTTCCGTGTGACTAAAGGCTAATATTTTATTCATTAGATTGCAAAAAATGGTAACAATAAGACAGCAGAATAGCTCAAGTAGGACATACAAGACATATAGTTGTAATGCTGTGTAATTGCATAAGGAATATTGTTATCAGAATTTGGAACCAGTGAAGAATAAGATACTTTTCGCAACAACCAGATGCAATCAGTATTGGAAATAGGGAATATATTTTCTGTGGCACCTCCCTTTTTTTCCAATTATAGTCAAGTTTGGGAATGTTCTGGCAGTGGAGTGAATTTTATATAGAAAACAGATGCAAATAGGACACATCACTTCAGCAAGTTATTAAAAAGTGCAAGGTAATGAAACCGAACTTTGCAAAGGCACCATTGTTATACTTAGTCTATGTTTGTTAAAGATGATCTAGCATTAATCACCTCTCAGCAGTCTGTCTCTCCTGTCTCTGGCTGACAGTGACAGGTAAGCAACTGGCAGAGTCTGCCTAAGACTGGACATGGCAGCCAACAGTCTGTCTCTACTCTAGAGAATAAACACAACACTGAAATGAATGCAGAGTCTTCTGGCTTAATGACAAGAATGTGAATGCTGCTCCTGTCTTATTTGCTCTATCCTCTGGTCCATAACATAATTTGCCCTAAGTGGCTTCTACTGACTGGCCATTTACAAAAAATTATTAAGCTATTTGATTTGATGCAAAGTGTTCTTTGTATGTCTCTCTAATATCTACCATCTATTGTAAAAGTGGAGATGTACTCATGCTTGAATACGTTTTACTAAATCATTCTGACATCCCCAGTAAAGGGTGTTTCTCTAATACAGCCAGAAATACATCCAATTAAATGTTGCATGACAAACTTCATTGTTCTGTCTAATTTTTGTCTACGATACTTTGTGGTACATAAAACTGCAAGAATTACATTTATTTAAGCAACTAAAAGCAAAATCCTTCCCAATCCTGGGGTGCAGATTCTTTCCATGACATTCAAGTGTGTTGGGAGAAATGCTCACTAATATGCTAGCCTGCAGATCATAATGTCCAACATCCATACACAGCCATTTAGCTTATATACTGTAGTTAACCCCAAGCATTTGTCAGGAGCCTACTGAAATCCTGTTCAGAGGAACAGCTCAGTGTGTTCCACAATGCCATCACCACCTCCTATGTGTACTTATGGGATTTCTGTAAGATATAAAGCATCTACCACAATTTCTTCTCCTGCACAAAGTAAGGCAGGATTTATCCATATTTAAAAATATTTAAATACGAATTATGAGAAACCATATTGTTTATATATTTTGACCTATAATTTAAGTGTTTCAAGAGGCATTTAACTTCATTTAACTTTAAAATTAAATATAACAGGGTAAAAGTCTGTTATTGTTTTAAAAGCACTTTTTAAATAGACAAACAAAAGTCATGACACATGATTTATATAATATAGTGAGGTGAGTGAGGCAATATCTTTTATTGTACCAACTTCTGTTGATGAAAGAAACAAGCTTTTGATCTACATGGAGCTTTTCTTTGTAGCAGATGAGGAACGATATGGATATACATTTATTTCAGTTGCCCTATTGTTAC